GGCAGCGAGGAGAGCGCGCTGAGCAGCTCCCGCATCAGCTGGGGGGTGGACCCACCCTCGATGCGAAGGGTCAAGGTCTCGACACACGACCGGCCGGAGGAGGCCAGCGCCGTGACGAGCTCGGTGGCCGTGGAGAACGGGAAAGTAATGTATAGGTTGACTATCTGAAGTTGGTGGGCGTGGCGCAGGAGCGTGGCGGTGGCCGCCTTGGCAGCATCGTCCTCGTCGTCGTCGTCGTCGGGATAAAAGATGGTGATTGTCTTTAAGGACTTTAAGGACACCAAGGCATCGATCCCGGGCACCATTGGGCACAGCAGTGTGGTGAGGTGGGGTATCTTGGCCAGCAGCAGTGTGGATGAGGTGGGGATAGAATCTGCTTCTAAATCAACCGTCTTGAGAGTGGCTGCGTGTCTGTCCAGTATGAAGTTGAAGACGCACTCCAACGCCGGGGTGAGGCAAAAGATGACGTGCGTCAGAGACGCATTGACAGCGCTGTGCAGAATAGCGGGGCTGAACTCGGTGGGCACGATTTTGTCATCAATTCCCTTGTCAATCCCTCTGACAAAGAGGTAATCCAAATCTGGCGTTGAAAGCAAGGTGTCAAACAAAACAATGGCGTGCTCTTTCGACACGGCCTTAGCGGCCCTTCCCAAGTCATAATTAAAAATCATATGAAGTTTCCTCAATCGGCCGAGGTCTCTATGGTGCCTGATAAGAGCAGCAGCACGCATGGCACCTTTGTCGCCTCTTACGCAGATAGTCAATTTTCTAGCGGCACACGCCGTCGTGAAGGTGTGGGAGCACTTGGAGAATTCAGGCGGAAAGATTACCGTCATGTTGAACACGCACGGCGCCAGGCGCACGGCGCGGCAGAGCGTGGCCCTGCGGTCGCGTTTGGTGAGGTCACCGATGTCTCTGCCCCGCCAGACGTCTGGGTGGAGAGCGAGGGCCGCGAACCTCTTGCAGACGAGCCGCAGGTCGAAGAGGTCCCGCAGTCTCACGAGGGACAGGACCTGCGCCAGCACGTCGTCCGGGAGGAGGTCCATCGCGCTCTGGAAGGGTAAGGGTAGACTGTGAGCACCGCGATCAGACAGGGTGAGACCCCGGACATGATTTTGCTTAAGCTATGCTATGCGGGCCGGGCGGGCTTGCCTATCGTCGCTCACCGTAGCGCCTTACGGCGCCTAGCGGGTACGCAACCCTCCCGCATGTGAATGCGGTGCAGCATGAGCAAAAGAAAATCAAAAAACTGTTCTATTCTGGTTATCGTGTGATAAAGGCGGATAATGCGTGAGGATAAAGACTCTGGCACTATTTCACTATAGTTTATTAAGTGAGTACACAACACAGGATACAGTCAAAGGCCAGGGGTCATTAATTAGCGGAACCGGTATTCACCCGGGGCCTAACAGACCAGGGTCAAGGGCGGAACTCTGCAGTGTTACCAACACGTAACATTTAAACTCGATGTATCGTTCTGCAGCAGTACCAACTAGAACACCTTCCCCTTCCAGTAAAATATAACATATTTTAAGAACGACCCACAGTATCTTAATAAGTAATCATATTTGGATTACAATACTTTGGATTAGGCTTTACAATTCTACCATGCTTACTCTGAGTATTAAGTATTTGGTCTCCAGTGCGTTTTAGGGATAGTCTTTCTAAAACCACAACTGGTTCTCTTAATTTTGGCACAGTAGGAACATTTGGCACATTATTTGGCACAACATTTGGTACAATATTTACTTGAGTATCACTAGACACTAAATAACCATCAATTTCATATGGTTCAATAAAACCTTTGTCTAAGTTATCAGCCTTTGTTTTGGACTTTTTAAGATCAAAAGTGTTTCTTCTGATGGTACGTCCATGAAGGGGTTTTACATAATAAGATCTAGCAGCTCCATGTTTTCTTTCAACAACACCCTTTTGCCAAATTTTACCTCTCCGGACTACCACATTGTCACCAGGATTAAAATAAACAGGACGCCTGCGAGCATGCCTGTCATGCTGTATTTTTACTCTTTCTTGGATCCTTTCTAACACTGGTTTAACATTTACAACTTTTGGTTTTAATTTTTCTTTAAGTACAGGAACCAAGGTACGACACATTCTACTCATTAATATTTGAGCAGGAGACACATCCATTCCAGATAATGGTGTGTTGTTATATTCTCTCAGTGCATCTAAATAATTAGTTCCACTTTCTTTGCTTTTGATCAACAATTTTTTAGCAATGTTAACACCTTTTTCTGCTAATCCATTACTTCTTGGATATTCAGGAGAGCTTGTTACAATTTTGCTCCCAATATTTTTAGCAAATTCATTGCAAGCAAAGGAATCAAGAGGGTTATTATCTCCATAGATAATTTCTGGAATACCATGCGTATAAAATATGGATTTGAGTGCACCGATTACAGCTCCACTGGTTTTACTAGACAATTTTTTGATCTCTAACCATTTAGATAAATTATCTTCAACTGCAAGATAATTATTACCACCAATATCAAGTATGTCTGCACTTACTTTCTGAAATCTGAGTTCAGGTACTTCATGTGGTATCAAAGGCTCTTTAAAATTTTTTGAACCATGTCTTTCACAAATTCGACATGTCTCAAGTAAAGTTACAATATCATTAGAGAGACCAGGCCAATAAACTGCCTGCCTCGCTCTAGCTTTAGTTTTATCAATTCCCAAATGTGCTGTATGTAACTTATTAAGTACCTTTGATCTCAGTGATGGAGGTATAACAATTCTATCTTCCAGAATAACCATACCATTTTCCACAAATAAATCATTTCTGAGTTGCCAGTATGGCCTAGCCTCAGGTAAAGCTGTTTCTCTAGAATTAGGCCAACCTTGGTTATAATAATTCTTAACAGCTTTTAGACCAATGTCCTTTTCAGTCTCAGTCATAATATCCTGTTTAATAGCATCTGAAATAGGCACATATTTAGTTACTTCATGAACAATTTCTACCATTTCAGGATCATCCTGAACAGGAGTTTCAATACACTGTCTTGATAACATGTCTGCAAT